ATTTAGCTAAATATATAAATATATATACCATCTTAGTGTAGCCAAAGCCGCATAATCTGAATCCAATCATGCAGAAACACCAAGCAAGCTCACATGGAAGGGCATTGTAAATAACTAGGTCACTCTTAAAATGTCAGGTGCAGGCACAACAAGGACTGAGGAAGTTAGACACACACACCCAGATGAAAAGAGCATTGCAGCTACATTCAGTCTGTGCGGACTGGAAAAAACTTCAAAGACAGGACAAGGCTATAGCACATGGGAATGTGATACTGAACTTGCTCCTATATGGAAGAAAATTCTATACAGGGCAGACAAATGATCAAGCGATCCAGATAGTAGAGTAATATGTCAACATCAAATTTCTCCTGTTTCATAATTATACTGTTGATCTATACAAAATATCTTTGTTCCTGGGGTGTGCATATTTCAACTATAATGGGAAGAAAGGTGGGGCATATACTTTCAAATGAAGAAAGTAAGTCTACTGAGAAGCACAAATGAAGAGATAAACTGTGGCAGAGTGTATATGTGAATTCCTCATTTTATTTTTTGCGAATTTTCTGTTCAATATTTACTTAAAAAGAAACAAAAGTGTGCATGTGAGCGCAGTGGCCGCAGAGAGGAGACGAGGGCAGCAGATTCTCCTGGAGAGGGAGTTCCAGATGGATGTGAGCTGCCTGGTGGGTGATGGGCACCAAGCCCACGCCCTTGACCAGATCAGCAAGTGCTGTGAACCGCTAAGCTTTGAGAAATAACACGTCTCATTGCATACAGTTTTCCTATGGAGAAAGAAATCAGTTGGAGTACCACCACGTGGGGCTACTGTAAACTGTCCCTGTCTCCTCTGCCTCTCTTTATGTCTCTGTGAAAAGAAAAAGAAACAGAAAACTGGACACTAACGACTGACTTCCTTGACATAACTGGCCATTTATTTTCCCAGGGGTCTTAGAGTGCCTGGGAAATAGGACTTCCCTGTGGGTGTGTGGGTGGTACTCAGAAGGGAGCGATAAAGAGGATGTTGGGAATGGGGTTCAGACAATGGACACCTTAAGGCATGATGTCAACAGCAGTGCAGGCGTCAGGTGATCTCACAGTTGTTGCTGGTGCCTGGGTGACCCTTCAGAAACATGCCCTGCCTTGGTCACGCAGACAATTCCCACAGAAGGGGACCGTATCAGCTATTTTTCTCATAGCTGTAACCAAATACCCAAGGGGAAAGGGAGGGAGGATTTGTTTTGGCTTACAGTTTGAGGGGATACAGTCCATCAAGGTGCGGAAGGCGTGGCAGCCGGAACAGAAAGCAACTGGCTGGTCACATTGCCTCTACAGCCAGGAAACAGAAGAGGGTAAATACTGGTGCTCAGCTCACTTCACGCCCCCTCCTTTATTCCATTTAGGTTGCAGTCCCTTGGATGGTGCCACCTGCATTTGTGATGGTTCTTTTCCTCATCTTCCCCTCTGCAACACTCCCTCAGACACACCCAGAGGTGCACTCAGTCTCCTCGTCAGGTTGACACTGGAGATCCATCTCAGAGGGACCCAGGGTGAGGCAGCCCCTCGACCAAGAGCAAGGAGGGGACAAGCCTAACTCTGCAGTCAACACGCTTGGCAACCGGGCAGGGCACTGCCAGGACCTTCCTCCACAGGTAGAGATGAGAGGACTCCACCCCACACACAGCTGGAGGCAGAGCATGACCATCACCTAATTTTGCATCCAAGTTCAAAGCTCTTAACACTACAGCACACTTCCACCACTCAGAAAGCATGACACACAGAGATTGTGAAGACTCATCTCTCCTCATATTCATACAGTGACTCAGACATTGTTTGCTAACAGCGTAGAGCATTTCTGGCCTCAGCAGACCATGGCATTAAAGGTTCTGAAATAAGACCCAACCCAACCAACTGAGACCAGCCAACTGCCCTGCCCCCATGCCCCAGTCACTCTCGATGTTCCCACGCTTCCGTTTTCCTCTCTCCACATAAATGAATGTTCTGGCAGCCAGCTGTCCAGGGTGAAACTCATGCAGACAAACTGAAAGTAAAGGATAGCATTTGCATTTCTCAAGGAACAAAATTCTCAGCTTTGTCAAAACCCCAAGAAAAAGCTCATCATAGAAGTTACTGAGATGCTAACTTATCCTTTAAGACAATCTTCTTAAAACTGTACTTTGTTATTTATTCTATATGGTCATCACAAGACTGTGAGCTACTTAACCTCAAAACGTCCCTTTAGGACTTACAAGAGAATCATCTGGTATAGTATCCAGTCGTAAGAATGGACCTGAGAATTATAAAATACTACACCAGTTTCTGTCTACAATCTGGTCTGAACAGGCCCTTTATCTGCAAACAAGCTTTTACCCATGACTTTAAAAAAAAATACATCACAACACCCTGTGAGTGCTCACTGTCCCCAGAGGTCGTGACACTTGGTGTGTGTCCTGGGAATTCCCTCTAGTTCCCAGCAGGCCCTCCCAGCCTCTCTAAGAAGTTAGTTGCCTCCTGATTCGTTTTGTGAGCCTCATGACTAATCTGTAATCCAGTTAGCTTTTGTCTGTAACAGCATGGTAGCAATTTAAACCCTGGATCATAAGAGTTGTCTGGGGGAATTTGTTAAAATAGGGACTTTGAAGGTTCAAGACTTTTGGAGGCAGAGCTAAGTAAATGTGTAACCAAATGCTTCTATCTGCAATTCTGTTGATAGCTAGTTCCAGAACAAACCAACTGCATTTCCAACAACCAACGGGTTTATGGCCATAGAATACCAGCATAAGAGTGATAGTTGGAGCTTTGAGACGGTTCAGGTGGTAAAAGCATCTGCCACACCACATGCCTGATAACCTGGATGAGAGATGTGACCCAGCACTCCTTCATCAAGATGGGTAACGGAGGCAGGGGAGTGGTCAGAGGCTTGCAGGCCAGCTACTAGCTACTTTCAGTACACACAGCAGCAGAAACCATGAGAAATACTGCAACAACAAGGTGGAAGAGAAACAACTCCCAGTCACCCTCTGCCCTTTACATGCATGCTGCAGCATGTGCATGCTCACACATTCACACATACACACACCTGCACACATACACACATGCACACACAATATATACTCTCATACACTCATATACACATACACACACTCACATATATACACACATACACATGCACACATACACACACCTACCTGCACACACACCTGCACACACACTCACATATACACAAACACACATATACACACTTGCATACACACACACACACAAAAAAAAACAATTGTTGGAGTTTTCCAAGACTGTGTGCACATTGTAAACCCATGCAAGTAGAAACAGACTGGATTTTGCAGCAGGGATCCAAATGTACATGCGTACCTTCATACGTAGATGTATGTACCTTCATACATCCATACATATGTACACGTCCATGTGAATGGTGACAGCACAGATATAAGGAACAGTAGCTCAGTTGGGGGAATTTGTATGATCCTGGGATTGCTGCAATGTGAAGTCAAAAATTTACAGATGGGATTGCAAGTTATGCCAAAGATAACAGACCAAGCATGGTAATACACATCTGTGATCCCTGTGCAGGAGGTTCAGAGGCAGGAGGATTGCTGCAAGTTTAACACCAACCTGATCTACCAGGGCTGCATAGTGAAATCTTGTTTCAAAATACAACAACAAACAAATAACTTCAAACAAACGCACCAGAGAAGCAATTTCCAACTTGAATTACGTTTCTTTTTTCCAGGATGACTTCCTCTTCCCTGTCGTAAAAACGCCCATGGCTCAGCTCAGGTGTCAGGACGGGGCCCACACTGCACAGCCCTCTCTGCCCGTCCCTCTTCATCTGTCATACAACCAAACACACGCCATCTGTCCCACCATGTCTACCTCGCCATCACTGGGTCCCAGGCTGGGCTCTGACTTTGTATGAAGTTGAGAGTGCGTCTCATCTTCTGGTTCTCCTGCCCCACCTCCGAAGTGCTAGGATCACAGACACACCACCACATGTGGTTTAACGTGGTGCTAAAGTCAGGGCTTTACCCACTGAGCCAATTCCCTGCCCTTTAACCAGCCCACTCCAGGTACAGTTCCACCAGGCTTGCACAGCTCAGTTAAAACTGCTTCTCATGGTAAGAACAAAGCAGTTCCACATTACCTGTGATTGGGGATAAAACATCTAACTTCCCTACTTCCCTACCTCACTGAGAATTCTTTTGATTGTAAACAACAGAACTAGATCTGGCTGGTTTAAGCAGAAAAATAAAATGGATTTGCACGTGCGTGCACACACACACACACAAATTCCAAACATCTCAATTCTTTGCATAAATTTTCTTAAAATTCTCAGAGATATCTGATATAACACACTGACACCTTGCGTGTGTGTATGTATATGTGCGTATGTGTGCATATGTGTGTATGTGTGTGTGACTGAGCATGTCTGCATGCAAGTATGTATATATGTGTTCATGATTACGCTCATGGGTGTGCGTGCCTGCGCATGCTGCCTCACAGAAAGGCAGGAGCAGTGTCGGAGGGCCTTAGTATCTGTCTTTGTAAGAAAAGATAGATCTTTCAAAGGTTGTCAAGGGGAAGGATGAACATTGAGAAAAATCAAGATATGCTCACTACTGCTCTGGAGCCCCAATCCACAGAAGGAATTCTTCCTTCTTGCATACCTCAGAAGTCAAAACAGGGACAGGAGGAGCAATGGGGAGCTAGTACGTTCGTGATTGTCCCTAAGTGCTCAAGATGGGAAGTGATTAAAGCCATCACTGTGAGAGCTGGGCCTCCCGGCACACATAGGGTCCCAGGAACTGGGAGACTGTGGCAAGTGATGGTGAATTTGAGACTAGCCTCTACTACAGAGCCAGGGAGGTTGTGTTTAACTAGTGAAATCCTTTTCACTTTTTCTGCGATCAACTGAATATTATATAATAACAAAATCCTTTAAAAATACTGGATGGCGTCTTTTGAAAAATAAGCCAACCACTACAGCATAAGAACATGTAAAATTTATTGGAGAGGAAGAGAGCCGGCATCAGTAACTTCGGGTCTTTAGGATGGTAACAAGGCCTCCGCTTCCAAATTCAGGAAAGGTGCCATCATCTCCCGGAGCTCCCACATGGTGCGGTGTCCCAGCACACTGGGCAGCACCCTTTCGAAGAGAAATGTGGCGTCCACGAACAGTATGTAACACGACAGGCCAGTGATGGTGACCACATAGACCATGACGAAGAGCTTCAGAGCCTGCTTCCTAAGGCAAAGCAGACACATGTGTTTAGACGCATTGAAGGTGCGGACCTGCCGTTCCCTCCGCTTCGCCCCGCCCCGGGGCAGGGATGGCGGGGTGGGGGGTTGGGGGGGGGTCTCTGACCGATGACCACAGTCTGTAAAAGGAGGAAACCGCGCATGAGCCCACACGACCTCATTTGGTCGCTTTTGCTTTTTGTGTTAATGTACCCTTTATGGATACAGTTGGAGCCACATTCGTCTGTTTGATACCATAGGAGGGCTGCTTTTGACTGACTTTTAAAGATGTATTAATTTTCTGTCAACTGCAGTATTTCTTTTCAATGGTGCATGATCACCAAGCACATGACATCATACACAGTGGCATATAAAATTATACTGCACATTGCACGCTAGAGTGGATATAAAACAGCTTCTTACTGTGTTCACTGTGTCCCAATTTGCATTCCTCTAATGGACAATATCATTGCATGTGCTTTCATGTGGTCAGTGGCCATCTGTGCACCTTCTCTGGCTGTATTTTTTTCCTGGCATTATAAAAGTTCTTTATATGTCATAGAGACTAAATCCTTAATTCTCATAATTCTGGAAACGTTTTCTATATATATAAACACACACACACACAAACACACAAACACATATATATGTAGATATGTATGATGTGGGATTCCCCTCTATATGCTATGAATACTCTTGGTTAATAAAGAAAAGTGCTTTGGGCCTATAGCAGGGCAGAATAGAGGTAGGCAGGAAAAAATAAACTGAATGCTGGGAGAAGGAAGGCAGAGTTAGAGAGAAGCCATGTAGCCCCACTGGAGACAGACCCAGTAAGCCACAGTCTCGTGGAAATACACAGATTAATGGAGATGGGTTAAATTAAGATGTGAGAGCTAGCCAATAAGAAGCTAGAGCTAATAGCCCAAGCAGTGATTTAATTAATACAGTTTCTGTGTGGTTATTTTGGGTCTGAGGTACCAGGCGGTCAGGAAACAAACAAGCAACCTTCTACAACAAATTGGCGTGCCAACGTGCTCAACTAAATCCATGTAAAACCTGAGAAAGTTTAAAAAGGAATTCTAGACACAAAAGAAAACAAAGTTAATTATTTTCTCCAATGAGCTCTGTTTGCTAGAGAAGGTTTCCTGACTTCTCTAGCAAAAAAAAAAAAAAAGAAAGAAAGAAAGAAACAAACAAACAAAAAACTGTGCAGTTTCAAAATGGCAGCTTCGTGGTTCACAAACACAAATGGCTCTGACTCTTTCAGGTGGTCTGGGTATGGAGCATTTAAATGGGGTTTGTGAGCAGAGTGTTACAACTTGCTTAATGGTGACATAGACCTGCTGCAACCTGACCCTGGATCTGGGGCAGAGAGAATGGCTCTCAGAGGTAGTGACCAGACTTCCTCCAACATGTTGGGCTGGACAGAGCCAAAAGGCAAAGCAACCTTAGTCATAGTAATGTCATTTAGCTTTTTAAGAAGCACTTCTGGTCAGAAAAGGATTACAGATATGCAATAAAGACAGATTCAGACATAAAATACCTCTAAATGAGACACACTGTATTTTAAAAAATGTATGTAGGCTTGGGAGAGAGAGGGAAAAAAAGTATAGACAGTTATAAAAGAAAGTAAATGGTTTTTAAAAAACAAAACAAAGTCTTTAAAGAGACAGAGGACAGACAGTCATAGATTAAAGGAGTAAAGATAATAAAATAAATATTAAACTTGTAGAAAAAGTAATAAAGTAAAGAAAAATAAGCCACACAAAGATGGAATATACACAGAGAGTCTGGATTATGCATATTATTGTGTTTTCTTTGAATTTTTTGACTGTTAAAGAGCTACACAATGAGAGACATGTCACTGTAATTGCTGAGTTCAAGCAACATAAAGTTATCTTGATTCCAAAACTTATTGGTTTGGAAAAGAAGTTCTTCTTTTGTTTCCACAGAAGATGAGAACCTGTGAATTAATTCCAGACTAATGTGGTTTGATGGACCAAGATCCCCTGAAAAGTTACCTTGAACACCCCTCAAAAAATTACTTCACCCAATAAATAGCAGGAAGAAGCTTGAACAGAACTACACCCATATTCCCAAATGTTGTCTATAAATGTTAGTTTACTTTTAAAGAGGAGTATGCTATAGAGGTTTGCATTGGAATGGATCTTGGTTTATTGATACAAATTTAAGGTCAATTTTGTTATATGTATATTTCTGCTCTTGTTTAAGGTATTGTGTTTGTGCAGCTCATTTAAAATGTAATGTGTAATTAAGAAATACAGATTAACAGATAGTCATCTATAATAGTCAAGCTTGTAGTCATGTTAGTTAGGTTTTCCAGATGTACGGAGATGTACTTCAGCCAGATAGGTATTCTTCAAATCTTTCAAAGACTACAGAATATGGCATTTAAAATGTTTTAAGAAACTAAGACTTTTCATGACAATGAGACACAGCTGCTCCTGGCAGCACCAATTACTTCAAGAGGATGATGGGCATTGAAGAGGCTCCTTATGGAGTTTGTTAGCCATTTGGACAAAAACTGTTTTTGCCTGGACTGCTTGATGCTATGCTGTATAAACTGGACATGCAGGACCCACAGAGAGATGACTGCTGAACTTGCTTGAAGGTGAGATGATCCTTTAGGGGTTCCTGCTTCATGAAAGAGTCTGCCAGACATTCTGCAGGACACAGAGGGAAGTGGCCACAAAATGACAGTATAGGTGGAACCAGGCTTCTTTACAACAGCTCTGCATTGTATCAGCCCTAACGCCAACCTCTACACACACCAGCAGCTTCGGTGGTATCTTTTCCTCTTCCAGCCCCCAACCACAGCCTTCATGGCCACGGTTGAGCTCTTTGCTAACATTCATCTCTGGTTGCTTTCCATAGCCAAAAACTTGACCGTTTGGTCCTCCCATGCTAGAGCTGCACAAGCTGTGTGGTGCATTTGATTTGGGGCCCAGGGTCCTTTGGATTTTTCTTTCTTCTTTCTCTTTTCTTTTGGACCACTTATGAGTGACCACTCAGAGTGACCTCTAGCCTCTGGCTTCTGAGTCGCCTAAACCAGAGCCAGTGAGGCTTTAACACCCTGCCTGCAGAGAAGAGATGTCTTCCTATAGGCTTTGCAGTGTTTGCTACCGTTTCACACCCAGCCTATAGAGAGAAGATGCTCTTCTACAGGCCCTGTAGTGTTTTTGCAGGTTTTCATGTTTTCAGCTATGGTATATACCCTCAAACTATCAGTCACCCGTCTGTAAATGCTACACTGGTGTCCCACTGGATCTGCTTTTCCTCAAACTGTCCCTGCCACCACTATTGCAGCCAACAAGATCGGTAGGATCCACGAGGCAGCTGTTTTCAATTCCAGCCTTTGCTCCCTGCCGTGGCTTGTGGTGCAGCAGCTCAGGAACAGGGTGGATCACACCTCTAGGTTTCTTTTGTTAAAATTCCCATGGCTCAAAAAATAGTGACTTTTTCATTCAACATGTGACTGCTGCCATTTTGACTGGGGTCAGGTGACCTCACCACCATCTTAACTGATGACCAGATTGGGTGACCAAGTCCTGCCATCTTTACTGAGGTATTCCTTTCCTGGTCCCCCTGTGCTGACTCTGTTGCATGTGTGCTTTGTGCAGTGGCATGCCTTTGGTAGGGTCCACCAAAGCATCCACTTCACCCAATTCCTGTTCACTCTGTGTGTGTGTATACATACATGTAACTTAAATGCACCTATGTTTACTGTTAAATGCTATAATTGTTTGTTCATTGTATCTCGTTCCAGACTACAAAGTAATATGTCTCATGTTTTAAACTGGTATGTACTTTTAAGTTTCTTACAAAAATACTTTATATTTAATCCAACACTGCTTTACCTGTTGAGAGCCAGTACAGTCAAGCTTGGAACCAGCTCTCCAGGCAGATTCTGTGCTGTAGTTATAACTCATCTATACCTGATAAACAGTCCTCAACTGCTCAGATATCTGGAGAATATGGCATTTAAATATTTAATTATTAGAAACTTTTCATAACAAAAGGAGACAGGTTGGCTCCTAGCAGCATTCTATTTCCTCCAAAGACAGAAGACAAATGGGCACAGAACAACGTCCATCTGCAATTTGCTTCAACTGCCAAGGGCTGACCACTGGGGAAAACTGCCTTTCATCTAAACTGAAGACTTCCAGATGTGGACAGAATCGTTGGAATTAACAGTCTAGCTACTCAGGTCAAGGTAGGTGTGTCTTCCTACAGATTTCTTAGTCCACAGGATCTTTTAGAGCCTGGCAGGACCTATGCTAAACAGCAAACGGCAAATACAACCTTCAGCTACCATGGAGGACCAAAGAGTAGCTCTAGATGCCAACCAAGTAAGTTCTCTGTCGTTTTTTAAGCAGTAACTCAAGTAAAATTTTATCCTTCTCAAAAATCTCTGATGCAGTTTGACAGCTGAGAGGTTTTGTCAGTTTAAGAGGATAACCTTACTAAACAAATTTTAGTAAAATACAAATACAAGTTGTTAAGGTGTCCACCTGCAAGTTATAAAGGTGTGAGGACAAGTGCACACTATCAGATTTCTCTCTCACGCTGCCTTCCATAGTCTTAAAGATACTTTTCATAATGCAAAAAAATCTGTCACAGTCATTCTGATATAAATGTATGTTTTCACAAACCCAAAAAGATTCTTGTAAGTGCCAGGGAGCCGAATTAAAGGATCCACCTTAAACAGGTGAGATATACCCTTCTCAATTCCCTGGTCCTAATTTTTTTTCCTAAACTTAACTTTGTCCTCTGTTCTGCCAATACCCTTAACAGGTGTAAGAGACACCAGACATTTCCATACCACAAACACCAGACAGGAGCAAAGAGATCAGCTACCCCAGGATGTGACCAGCACCCAGCCTTCTCAGGTTCCTCTCACAAGACTATGCCAACAAATAAGCAGGAAGCAGTCTTGAGAATCTGTTGTGCCAATTCCTTTAACCTGTTGTGCCTAACTTCCCACCTTTTCATTATAAAACAGAGATGGGAGTGTAATGGTCCCTTTAAGAGACAAGCCCCGCCCACTTTCTCCCCTGTCCACTGAGGCAAGCAGACCTTCCTTTGGCTTCTGGCCTGAGTCCTTTCCCTTCCCCCCCCTCTCCCGTCTCCCCACTTCTCCCCCTTTGCTCTGTTTCTCTTTCTCTCTCTGCCTTTCTCTCTGCTCTTCCCCCTTCTCCCTTTCCTCCTTTCCCTTTCCCCTCCATAACCCACTAAATAAATACCCATTTTCTCTGCAGGGCATGCCTCTGTCTCTCGCCTGCTACAGCTGAGGGTCCTCGTGGGACTCGCTGCCCTGCCACTCCCTGCCTGGGACCAGTGCCTTCGTGGCCCACATGGTCTCCTGCCCGCTGCTACCACTCGGAGACCTGCAGCATTTAACTTTTACCATAACAGGTATCACACACATCTATACCCTCCAGAGAGGGAACCCACAACAGACCATGTCCAACTTCGTGAACGAGTGAGGTTTTTGGGGGGGTATTTACAGGATTATGGGTGAGGAGTTACCTGCAGGAGCAGAAAGGACTCAAGACAGCTGCATCAACCAATGCCCACCCCAGCACAGGGGACAACTCACAATGCTGGGAGCCTGAAGCCCACTTCGCAGCCTTGCAGGCAGCTCAATAGGTTAGAGAGTGAGCTTTTTAGGTGCCTCCATTGTTCGAAACCTCTTGCTAGCTCCTGGCTAGATTCTGCCTCCTCCAGACAACTGCTCTGGTCTGAGTCTTTCTTGCAGCCGGACTTCCTTCCATATGAGGGCTGAAGGGGGGGGGAATCTCTGAGTTTTTATTGTTTACCCTGGCAAAAAGGGGCCTGGTGAATCTCGTCAGTTTCAGGGACTTCCTGAAGCTATTTTGAGTTGTTCACCTTCTTGCAGAAGGAGCTTCCTGCAGGATGGAATGTTTTCTTCTTGGAGGAAACTGTTACACCATTCCTCAGTGCGGAAATTCCAGGCTAGGTGGCCCTGAGCTTCAGGGACAGTCTCCTGTCCTCACCTCCCATCTTTCTGTGGGAATGCTGGTTGCAGATGCATGCCCTGAAACTGGCTTGTTCTGTGGGTTCTGAAGTCCTCACGCTTCAGTGACAAGCACTTCTACCCTCCCGTCTCCTTGGCCCCGGTTCTTGACAATTTTCCCACCTATTGACTCTGTGGAGGAGAATGTTTTCTGAGGTCATTACCATTTTCGCTGTCATCACTCCTTATTTGGCATTTCCTGGGTGTGGTGTGTGTCCCAGAATGACAAAGACAAGATCCCAGTTTCATAGTTCACAGAGTGTTAAGAAGAAACAGAACTGAAACAATTGAGCTGCAGTATGATGTTGGAGCCGTGACCCAATGATGTGCAAGGACAGAGGCTGTCACAACCAGACAACAAAAAGATGACTCAGAACTGAAGGGACACTGGCCCACTCGAGCATGTGGCTCTGGCAGACCTTGCCCTTCTCCCAGTTCCTTCTGCCTTGCTAAAAACCACTAGCTTACATTCCTAAAGCTAACCACCAAGGTCTATTCCCTTGTTTGGCCACTTCCTCCTCCTGAGGCTGACTACCAAAGTCCAGCAATCAAAAGCCCCCTTTGGTTCACCTAACGAACATGCCCAATTAAAAACTAAACACCTCATGCTAACCCAGGGTTTTCCCCGTTTGCCTTTATAAACTGCCATTTGTCTGTGTATCATATCTGTCCCCCTCTATCCAGAGGCGGGACAAATAAACACCCCTTCTTCTTCCCCTGCTCCCTCATCCTCTGTCTCCGGTACCACTGCATCCTAACCCATTCTAACACAGACCTCCCCTTTCCGCCTCTTAAAAATGACCCCTGCACAGTCATTTGCTGCTGTTTTTCTGCCTGAGTCTGAAAGCAGTCACTTTAACTTTTTTTTCCCCACTTAAAAAAGGATCTCTGTGAAAACGGGTGTTTGGGTGTGGTTTGTGCCTAATCTGGGGTCTGGGAGGAAGCCCCCACCGTGCAGGGATCGCTTTCAAAAACAACAACTGGAAACTGCTCCAGAAGGCAGGGTGCTGAGGGCTCTGTCTGAGTGGGTGGCTGGAAATGAAGGGCGGGAGGCCTTTTCTGGAAGAAAGGACTATTTCTCCAAGATGTTGTGTCGGCGCTGTAGAAGGATTCAGGACTCAGGAACTGGGCGAGGATGGTGGTCCACACCCCTAATCCCAGCACTGAGCCCCAGACGATCTTGTCAAGGCCATCCTGAGCTACACGGGGAGCCCCTGTCTCAAAAGAGACGTTTCGACCTTTTCCATGAGCATGTCTCCAGTACTGCATAAGGAAGAGGCTCCCCAGCATATACCCAGAGAACTCCATCTCCCACCCCGGAGCTACATGCATATCCATGTTCGTTGTTATGCTATTTACAGTCCAGGGAAATTGAGCCAACCAAGATGTCCATCGACAGATAAATGGGTAATGAAAACATGATGCATATATACACTATGGAATATTGTTCAGCTCTCAAGGAGAAAGAAATCACAAAGTTCGCAGGAAAGTGGATGAACTGAGAATATATGCTATCATCACGGTCAAGCAATCTTACAAAGACAGGAAATATTTTCTCTCGTCTGCACATCCCAGCCTGAAATGCATACATGTTTATATGTAAACATCAGTAAGTGCGGGGACTGTGTGGTATTCCGAAAGGATCCTGGAGAAGGGTGGTGCCGGGTGGAGGGAAGGAAGATATGACTCGTGAGAGAAGCTACCAAGTTCATTTCTTTTCTGGTTTCGGTTCGGTCATAGTGTTTTGATTTTTCTTTTTTTGTGGTAAGTGAATAAAAATCCAGCTGATGTGAAGTGTGAAACCCTAAGCCCCCTAGCTTCAGAGCCACCACTTCAGAGAGCCCTCCCAACTGCACAGGAACGCACCGAGACAAGGTCTGGGGCTGGGCAACTGTTTGAATGGCTACCTTAATCTGGCTGTGTGCAAGTTTTAGCTGTGAGTTCTTATCAATACAGTGATTTTATTTTTTCAAAGGAAGGTGAAGGGGAGCAATCTTGTCAAGCAAACCAACGCTGTCAAGTCTGCTCCATAAGTAGCTTCCTTTGGTGGAGATGGTGACCAGAGCCTATGAATTCCATTCTTTAACCTGTAGACAGCAGAGCTGGAGACATGGCACGGTGGACCTAGGTCCAGTCCCCAGCACCCACAGGATGGTTCGCAACATCTGCAACTCCAGTCCTAGGGATCCAGGACCATTCTGACCTCCCTAGGTGCCAGGCATGTGTATGGTGTATGCACACACATGCAAGCAAACACCCAAACATGCAAAATAAAGTAAATAAACTAAAAAACTTTTACTTTTTTTAAAAAAAATAATGTAGATAGATGTACTGGGGTGTTTCTCGGTGGTAGAACACTTGCCTAGCCTACATGAGGTCCTAAGTTCCGTCACCTGCGCTGCACACATCTAAAAAGATTTGGAAAGGTATTGTATACAGGTGAAACATAGGTAGTACATATAGACAGGGTTATCTAAAGTAATCAGAAAGCTATCTCTGCCCATACACTTTTCTTTTCTTTTTGGTTTTTCAAGACAGAGTTACTGTCCTGGAACTCGCTCTGTAGACCAGGCTGGCCTCAAACTCTCAGAGATCTGCCAGCCTCTGCCTCCCAAGTGCTGGGATTAAAGGTGTGCACCACCACTGCATGGCTTGCCTGTATACTTCTTAATACAGTAGATGTATAGCTGAAACAAAACAGTCTATGACTTCAATTAACACACAAAATTTACAAAAGAAAACAGCATGAATTATTCAACACTTGAAGATGTGTAGTGGGCCTTAGAATAGTTCATATGTTGAGAAGCTAGACACACGTGCACACATGCACGCACACGCACATGCAGGTACACAAACATGGAAGGCACACACGCGTGCACCTGGTCTCACTATGTAAACCAGTCTGCCCTAGAACTCAGAGGTCTACCTGCCTCTGCCCCCGAAGTGCTGTGATTATAGCACCTGATGACGTTGGATAAGTTCGTCCAGCCCATGCCAGCCCCTGGTCTTACTCACCACACCGCACTGTAGGGAGCAGACTGTGGCCCTGAAGGGGTCGGAGAAGCCTCAGGAAGCAGGGTCTCTGATTGCTCCGTATCCAAGTCTTCAGAGCTTTGGGAGTCTGTCTCCCTTCTCTGCATGTGGTACACCTCCAGCTTAGTGTTCAGGATGTTCATTTCCTTATAAAAGCTCTGGGGGGGGGATTTAAAGAGCAATCAACTATCTTTTCTTAATAAAAGAAAATTCTCATTGTCTCCCAGTCTCATCCAGTTGTCATCCAGCAACAGAGGACGTCTTTCCCTCCATGACACTCCAGGTGGCCAATAGCAAGGCACACTCAGTGACTCACACGCAGTTGGGGGAGAGAGGGGAAACCCACGTGCTAACTTTTAACTACTGGAATGACACCCTGTGCTGGATCTGTGTATTCAGGCTGGCCATCCATGCCACACCTACAGTGGGCGCCCACCGGGACTCTATTAGGACACAGACTAGATAGGAGTGTGCAGCCAACTACAGGAGCACGTACAAGGCTTGTGAAACATAACACATGACTAAATGCCCATGTGCATTAGTGTGAGAGGCATGATCAGGGGTGCGGCTGAGGCTGAGTGGGGTCAGGACCGTGTACCCAGTGATGCTGATAAACCAGCACCTCTGAGTGGGAGGGTGGTAGCCCATCTGTCTGCTATTGTTCTACATGTTCAAGTCCCGAGCGCCCCCCCCCCACAACTCCGTGTCTAAGGTGTCAGAGAAGAAACTCAAAGATGAACTCATGTCTCTGGATGTGAGAGACAGGAGAGGTCTGGGGAAGAGATGTCTTGCAGAATGCAGGTGTGGACGTAGAGAAAAGCTCCAGATGACTAAGGCACGGGAAACACCAGACACCGGCAGGGTTCTTTTGGCCCAAGGCAGAGCCTGAGGGATGGAAACGAAGACGTGTGACCAGAGACCAGAGTAAGGTGTAGTTTAGCCTCCTGGGAAAGAACCGCCAGGTTTAGCCGGAACGCATCTGAGCTGCTTGGATGGGTGGACTCGGGGCATCTCACCTCTATCCGTTCAATTAGTTTCTCCTTTAACTCGCGGGCTTCGTTGCAAGCGTCAACCTAAAACGATATCCACGGGTCTGAGAACACTGGCAAGCGCTCCTTCCTGGTTTAGATAATACAGTCTCTAGCTTTGTACTACAATCAAAGTGACCGTGCTGAGATATTCGCGTTTGCTCTGTGACACAGTGGATTTCTGGGTCGAGGATGCAGCGCAGGCCTACCGCGACCTGGACCCTGCACTCGGTACTCAGGTCTGAGGATGCAGCGGAGTGGTGGGGCACTCGCCTACCACGACCTGGACCCTGCACTCGGTACTCAGCACCACAGAAGCGAATGAAAACAGAACTTAGCAGAGTAAAGCTAGGCAGGAAATCTGAAGAGAGAGAGAGAGAGAGAGAGAGAGAGAGAAGGAGTCAGAGAGATGCTATGTAGCTGCCAATGGAGATAGACGCCGTCACAACCTTTACCTGTAAGCCACAGTCTCAGTGGTGATACATAGATGAATAGAAATGGGTTAATTTAAGATGTAAGAGCTAGTTAGAAATATGCCTGAGTCATTGGCCAAACACTGTTGTAATTAATATAGTTTCTGTGTGATTATTTGGATCTGAGCAGTTGGGAGATGGACGAGCAGTCTCCTGTTACACAGGGCTGTGTAGTGAGACTCTGTTTCCAAAAAAAAAAATAGAAAGAAAGAAAGAAAGAAAGAAAGAAAGAAAGAAAGAAAGAAAGA